TCCAGATCTATTCCGACAAATCTCACTGATATTAATCAAACGTATGTTAACCTTTCACTGACTTACTAAATCTTTTCCTCAATCTAAACCTAGTAAATTAATTATAACTGCTTTGTCAGGAAATTTAGGCTTTATATCCCTGAATGAAGTTAATGTTTTCTTGTTTTTTCCATAAAATTAGACTTTTAAGTTTCACATTTCCCTTTAGTCCTTTAGATTCTCTAAAAGTGACTTTGAAACAAAATTAGCCTAAAAGCACCAGAATGTGACTAATGCGTCCAAAGATTCCTGATCAATTTTTACAGTTAGCAGGACTATGTCCTGAAGTAATTTAGATGATTTTGAAAATTCTCTCGATAAGCTCTAAAACAACTGCAGAAAAATTCAAGAGGAGGAAAAAAGATAGTTCCATGGTTTGCATGGTTGATAAATACTGCATGTACAGCAATTAGTAATGTAGCTACAGTCAGTGAGTTACACACCTGAACACATTTTAACATCTGAGGCTCAGTGTCTCTGTGCCTGAGCTGGTTCTGTGGAACGCCAGAGTACAGACGAACATCCGGAGATGTCAATAAATCTCCTAACAACTGGCATGTAAGTAGTTGAAGAGTACTAATAAAATTCTTCTCTATTCAAGTTATCTACGCAAATGACACAGGATTGAAAAAAAAAAGAGCCTCAGTATTTTTTTAATGCAAAGTAAGGTTGAAAGTCTGAAAGAGAAGACAGTTTGAAAGAAGAAATGAGAATTATTTCTTTTTAACATAGAATTCCATTTTTTTGTTGTTTTGTTGGGAGATGGAGCACTATAGCATTCTAAGTCATCAAGTTCATTTTTCTTCATAATTATTTTACTTATAGGCTAATAATACCACTAGTGGTAAGACTTTCAGAGTAACACCTCAAGAATGGCAGGGTTATTTTTTCCATGTAAGACTAATACGTCCCCTCCCTTCACCAACTATTTTGAAATTAAGGGCACAAATGAACTATAAACTGGAATATTCTGGAAGTGTTTAATTTTTGCCCTTCTGATAACAGAATTGAAATTCATGTAAATCCATACATGAGCCATCTGCTTCTTAAAACTGCCAGCATGTCCAGAGCTTATGGAATATAACTTCACCTCCTTTGGGAAGCATCAGAAAAATCTGTGCCATAGGAAGACAGAGAAAAGTTTCATTTGAAGTTACAGTGAAGAGGTTTGACAGGACCCACACTCTGTTATTTCACCTGAAAGATTTCTTCTCTTGACTTAAACAAGCACTAACCTGAAGCCTGAACCAACTTGATCTGACCACCAGGTAGCAGATGTCAAACCAAGCACCTCTGAGCTGTGTAAGAACTAAGAAAGTGAAAATCAGTTGAAGTCAGGGATGCTTCAAGAAAGCAAGAGTAGGAGCCAGAGGGGACAAGGTATTGACTCTAGAACTCTTGCAAAGACTTCATTCTTTTTTTAATATTTTGATTTACAAGCATCTGCATGCAAGGCAACATTTTGTCCCACACAAACCACATGTAATACAGACCTAACATGCTCCAAGGGACTATCTTTAAATGTGTCTCATTCACTAGGCTTTGCCCCCCGAAAAAAATGCAAACCCAAAGCTTGTGACTTTTTATACCATCTGCTACACAGTTACCCAGAACTGGTTACCCAGGCTCTGCAGGTACCAAATAAAAAATTCTTAGGATTATGTTAATTGTTCTTTAATGAGTCTATAATTAGTTGACCAGCACATTGAAGTCACAGATAGAGAGGTCCTTGAAAAATGCAACACTAATTGTTTGATTTTTACAGAGACACAAAAGAAATCCGGAAAAATATCAAGTGGAAAAACAGTCAGTTTGACATTTCACACCCTTCTGCATATGCCCAGAATAGCACTGCAAAGGATTTGGACTTGTGAACAAACAGGCACGACAAAATGCCAGTTTAACAAACCCAGACACAGCAACCCACAGACTTACACTGCACACTGAAGTAAATCACTATAACTCCATGGCTGTCAACAAAGCTGTACCAGTCAACAGCAGTCAAAAACTTGGTCTTTCATTAGCCAGAACTGGAAACTACCTCATACTCTTCCATTTTCTCCTCATTTCAAGAAAACCCACAAGGCTACTCATGTAAAAACATATTACTCGCTAAAACTGGTGCTATCCTGCATTAAGAGAATGCATTTAGCCGAACACTGACATTCAAACTCCTTTCAAAAGAAATCTTTAATATTTATCTGAATAACTGCACCAGACAATTAATGTGATTTAACCACTGATGAGTTAAAAGGAAAGTGATTCAAAGAATGCAGACACAAAATTATCTGAAAGATTTCCTGAAATTAAAACCTTTTGTTCACTGCGAAATATGGTTGAAAAAAATCTCAGTTGATGTCAGCATTATGATGCAACTTACAGCTCCTAAACCTGACTGCACCCGAAACAACAATCCAGGGTGCCTGGCCAAAACATACTGAGACTTGCAAAGATCATAAAAATGGGATGCCTGCACAGCTTGATTTTATAAAAAAAAAAATGTTAAAGGTCTGTGCTGGATTTATTTAAGATCTGCAGGGAGGGTTTTCTTGAACAGGAAACGTGTTTATCTCATTCAATTTATCTGGTCGGTCTTGTAGAGCTTGAAAACTGATACCAACCTTAGACCTAATAAACTATTCAACAGTTTCAGACAAGACTATAGGAAATCCAGTAGGTTTCATCTCTAGGTATAACCTTGACCCTCAAAGCATGTTCACAGAAAGGACTGCGAAAGTTTGCAATGATATTCAGGGAATCTGAAGTGATTTATGATTTTCAGTGCCAATGAAGGGAGAATACAGTCAGAGGCTGATTGTAAATCTTTAAAGTTTTAGTCACACAGGTACAGCCAACAAAGACACCCACAGTAGATGAAGGAGGTAATGCCACAAGGAGAATCCAGATTACAAGGAGCTTTGTGGTCATGCAGAAGGGAGACAGAAACAGAAGCTACTCAGCCAAAGGACAGTCGTAGTGTTCCCATGTCCCAGGGCAGAGAAGAAGGCATTTAAAGAATGCATTTATCCAAAACAGCTGTCTGAATGCAGGGAACCTGCCTAATGCATCCATTCCTCTTCCCATGCAACAACTTGCTGATCTTCTAGATTATTTTGCTCATTTTTCCTACTGAGGGTACAAACCTGCATGGACCGGTGCTGGGTAACGTGTCTGCAATTTTGGCAAGCACAAACGACTTTGGCTTCTGAACATAACGTTACTCCAGCCCTAACGCAGAGGGTGGAGAAGAGCAGGAAATAGTACTATAATGTCTATCTTAAACTAGCAAAGCCTAGTGAAGATCAGCAACGCCCATAAAATTAGACACAGATTTTGAAAATGTGTTAGATTCAGATAGGTTTCCTTTGGCATGGTTGCAATTAGGCCTACAGGCATTTTATAAACAAGTTGACTATGCTGGTAAGTGACTTCATGCCTGAACATGAATACTTTTCTCCAGTTGGTGCCATTTAATAATTATTTTAATTGCACTGAATTGATATTTTCTTTCTCAACAGTATCAGCAAATTGACAGAATAGAAATATTATACATCCAGACATCTCATTGCAGAACTCTTTCTGCAGCAGTCTGACTTGGGGCCTTAGATTTTGAGTTAGAAATGCAACCAATGAAACTGTGCAGGGATGCTACCACGTGTGCATGGACAAAGGACATAACAAAATCTGAAATCTCTGCACACTGGATTTGCTAAAATAAACAAAGTGAAGCCCAAAGAGCTCAGGAATGTGTTTTATCTCCCACAAATATAAAATATTTCTGATAAGCCATGGAGAATCTTGACTAGCTTTGACTGTCAGATTGGTTTCAAAATGCCAGGTATTTTTAATCTATCCTATATTTAGCGCTCAGGGTTGGTTTTAAAAGTTTCTGAACCCTTTAGGCACATTTCCTAGGAGCAATCACCTATGAGGATGCAGTTATGTTTAGATACAGGTGTTGCTTTTGTCATTAAGTCCTTTTCCCAGATGGGAATTATCTCTACAGTTACGAACATTTTTCAGCTGTTACAGTGTTGGACAAACTGGACATTAGACACTGCTTTGAGGACAGTTGTCCATGCAGAGAAATGTGGATGGAAGCAGACACCAGTAGAACAGAGTTCTTTCTACCATGGCTTCTTTCATGCAGAAGACTGTTAGCAGCCTCACCATTAACAGCCTCACTGTTTTTCTCACAGAAGAACTGAAATAGAAACATAGGGGGGGAAAAAGCACTGTAGACACTCTAATCAGTTTTTCATAGTATGGGTCAGGCTTGTAGGCACTGCATGTTACAGAGCCTAAAGGAACAAATGCTGTGCTTAGTAAGGCACAGAAGACTCTGGAGGTGACTGATTCAATTCATCTGTCCCAGTGCATTGAATGGAGGATTTTTCCAGTGCTGAGTTTTCTTGTGTCTTATACAATTTACTGGGGTTTTTTAACATTAAATAGTCAGAGTCACTGTGTCTTAGGGAATTTTATATCATGGGTGGAAGAAAAGGAGTGGCTTTTACAATTATTTGTTTATATATTGGTTTCATTGCTCTTTCACCAAACTGACCTTCAGAGCCAGCTAATCTTGAAAATAATATTTATTATCAGCTTTTAAACTTGGGAGATCCCTGAGTGTTTTAGTCTAAGAGGGAAACAAATTTACTCCAGTGAAAAAACACAGCATGTGTCCTGGTTGCTGCAAGCTTCTGCTCCAGGCAAGCAGAAGAGTGGGTGGTATTCAGTCTAGAGAAATACTTCAAGCTTTTTGGTAAATAACACATCACAGCTTTTGCATTAGTTTGCAGGATATGCCAACATGCATTTTATTCCCTCTGCTTGAAAGTACTATGTTACAATCTCAACATCCTGAATAAAAATGTCATTAATTATAGATTAGGAAGTATGGTTAAGCTGCCTAGTTATTTGATGGAAGTAATCCAGTGGGATATTCAGTATCTCAGTAGAATCATCTGTTTCAAATCATAATTAAATGGTCTTGGTTAGGGTTCGGTTTATTATTTTTTTTTAGACTACTTTCAATGTAAGTTTTCCGATGTAGAAGCTTTGCAGACTGGAACAATGAAGACAAATTTCACCTATTATTTAAGATCATACCTCCTGGTGAACCTGTAGATATGGAGTCTCCACAGATATGTAGCCACATGATCAGTGCATTTTGATGTACTAACGTTTTAGGAATTATGACTACACTTTTACATGACAAAGCATCCTTTAGTAGTTATTTTTACAGAACAGATTTCAAGGTCTTCAATTTACATTGAGCTCTCATATAGGATGTATTTACAATCCAAGATAGCAGAAAACGGTATTTCCTTTTCAAGAAAATGCCTCAAGTGAACATGGTAGAAAAGCAAAAGAGAACTGGGAAAGAGAGAGAAGGGCTCCCAGCTAATGGAATGGGATTCCCCAGAACCATTCCTGCATGAATTGAAAGCCTCTGACTATTCACAAATAGATTAACAAGTATCATTTGCCTCCTCTGGTACTATTATTAACACATTACAGATATTGACTGTAACATACTTTTCATATAGTCTTTGTCCTCTCATGAAGACCTTCACCTCATTGTCCAGGGGAAACGTCCCGTCATCTTTTCTGAAGCGGTAGAACAATTTGACATCCTTGAATTCTTTATGCTCATCACAGACTGAAACATAAAATAACGAAATTTTTAAAAGTCTTCACACACATATTAAGGAGTTGAGGATCCATTTAGCAGGTATCGCTGCAGAACTTCAAAGTAAGCACATATAGAGTCTAACTCCCTGTATTTCTGAGCATACAACTTTATTCGGTTCTAATAATCTATGAAAGGCTGGAGAAAACTTTCAGACAGGTAACAACATTTCCAGATGAGGGGGATAAGTGTCCATCAGTTTTGTGATTATTACTGTAAACGCAAAGAGTGAAAAAGTATCCATCTGCTACATACCCAGGAAACCTTCTGATGAAAACAGTCTATTGGCTTGTTTGTTTAAAAGGTCACCAGAGCAGAATGCCCAATAATTTAAGGTTTGGCAAACTTCTTAAAGTAACTTGTATCAGCTAGCAATGCTGTAGGAAACCTGAGACTTGGTACAGAAACAGTTAAAATGAGAGCCTTCTGCCTTCTTACAGTTGTCTCAACTGCTCTGCCATGCCAGCTAGCAAATGGTAGGTACAACAGGACCACACTGAGAAATGCCAAATAAGGTTTGTAAGACAGCAGCTGATGATGGACTCTTGCGCATGCAGGACAGAGCCCCAGCAAGGGCATAAACTGATGGGAAAGCTATCCCAAGCAAGCTGCTTCTAACAGAGTAGTCAGCCCACATACATGGGCTCATCTTCTGCACCACAGAAGCAGAAACTGGTACTTTCACTTTACGTGGGAGTTAAAAGGATGTTCTGAGCATCCTGCAGAATCTGATCGAACCTCTCTGAATCTACCTACCCTAGTTCACTTCTCAAACTATTTATTAAATTAGAGTGCAATACACAAACATTTTCAAGAAACACCTGTTTCATGCGTAATATATATACACACATATAAAAAATTTGTGTGGAAGCTATGGAGTGCAATTGAATCTTGAGGCAGGAAACACTTGAAGGTTGTCAGAGCTTTAAACAAGCATTGAGCAATAAAACATCTATTGCTCAATTAAATTAAGTCACTCAGGCATCTACGCAACTCTTCACTGACATTTTCTCAATAGAGGATTAAGTAGTCAGATTTGAATACCCTATAATTACTTTATTCTTTAACTATCTACCGTGAGTCCTAGTTTCCATAACAACCCAGAATTTTCATTTAATAGCCAAGAAGAAGCTCTAGAAGTGGCACTCATTCAATATGTGAATTTCTGACTTTAATTAAGGTGTTGTTAATGTATTGCAGACAGCAGCAGCACTGCTGCACATACAGTGACCTGCACAAAGTCAACATTCGTCTGCTCGCAGTCGCTCAGTTTTCTCTTCAAAAAGAATCAAATGGTACATTTGCCTTTTGGAAATGGGTAATACTATAGGCTTGAAATCGAGGCCTTGGATCTTCTTTGCTTGTGTGCTTCCCAGCCTTTTTGTGCCCCAAAAGGCAACTAAATGTTACCACTGAACTGGAAGTCTCCTTTTCATCAGCATAAATTGTTATTCAAGAAGCTGAAAAAAACAGATCTCGAATAAACAACAAGTTTAGGAGAAAATTAATCAGGGCACAGCCGGACCACTAACTTTCTTGCAGCTGTACCAGCACTAATGTTTGTGCAGCTGGTGTGAGGGACAGGGCCAGGGAACTAATCCACGTGAGAAAAGTGATCTTTTTTTTTGTTGGCTGTTTTTTCAGATGGGTTTTTCAGCTGGAGAACTGTGCTCTTGGGAGCAGAAAAGTGGGGGCAGTAGGGGGAGCGGGGACAGCATCCAGCTGGGGCAGCTCTGGAAGCAGAGAAGCAGCATCATAGTCTCCAGTAACTTCCCCCCCTGCCATGGGGAACATCAGTCCACACCTCTTCAGCCTCTTCATGTCCTTCAGGACAAAGGGGACCTTGCACAGTAGCACAGTTCAAGGGAGATGCTCCATTTCTGGCAGGGAAAGGATCCTACCTGTGCTATAGTTGGCTGAAGAGCAGGAGTGGGATTTTGCTTTGTTTTACAGCAATCAATAAAATTAATCTTAAAACCCTGTATCAGCTTATATTGCACTTACCATGGTGGATAATGCTGTGATCCAGTAATTTCTGCACCAGTTTAATGGCTGTCTCTCGGTCTGAGGCTTCTTTATGGTCAATCAGCCAGTCAATCAGCTCTTTGGCAACAAAGCAGTTCGGGTACGTCTTGAGGTGGTGTCGCCGATCTTTAATGACCTTTTCTTCATGCAGTCGGAGCCTAGGGATCAAACCACCTTGTGAGCATCATTTTCAAAGAGCCTCTGTAACTAGCAAGACTGGGACGAGAGTGGAGCAGTGCTCCACGCCCTGCTCAAAGGATGGGCTTTGCAGGTGTTGGGTAGAAGAGATGTGGTCACATGTCCACTGTTGGTGTTTCACCACCAGGCAACCCATAACAACCATTTGTCATAACTTTAAACCTTGTAATTGGAAAAGAACTTGTTTTATGCACAGTGGAAAAGTTTAAAAGCTGAAGAACAGCACAGTATACTAAGTCCATTACAATACTTTCCGTAAGTCAATTAAACTGTCAATAATTTGGAATTAATTTTCCCACATTACCACCAATATGTTCCATGTTACTCTTTTAATTTATAGTATCACTGCTGTAGATTCTTTTTTTACATATATATATACAATTCCTTTTTTCAGCTGTAGTTTCTCTCTTGGTTGGGTAACTGCATTTTGCCTCCAGCTGCACAAGATTTTATGATGTGAAATTCAGGTGCAAAGCTGTTTCAACACAATGTTATCTATCATTAAAAAGTTGCCTCCTACTCCAAATAAAGGAGAACTGATTTCTCAGTTGGGGAACTGTTGGCAAATGCTCTCTATCTGCAAAACCTCCCTCATCATCTTGATAGTGAGTTGGTTGGCTGGTACTGAGATGCTTGGGTCAGAATGCAAGACCTTGATTAGAGTAATACCTTGTTAATTAGGATTCTGGAGGTTTGTATCTTTATGTTTAGTCGTTTTGGGGTTTTTTTTTAATAGGCAACATTGCCAATAAATTAATGCATAGAGGTTTTTAAAGTTTGCTGCTTTCTTGTTCCATTTTAATGAGTCATATCAGAAAACCTGCTTTTGTAGTGCCATGACTATACCACAGTTCTGAAGAAAGCACAGAAACCACAATGCTTAGACCCCTATCACCAACAGAAATATTGCTGCTCATTTTCAAGTGGCCAGGATCCTACCTTGTAAACACTCCCACTGACTTCAAAGAGTCCTGAGTAATGCTATAGTAATTGCAGGGAGTACAAGGGTGATAGCACAGAAGGGTGTTAACATGAGCCTCAAGAAGCACAGGGTAGGAGTCCAAACAATTTTCCTCTCAATGTGATTCCTGTATGAAAAAATATTTCTCTTTAGAATCAAAAAAAGAGAAACTGTTTGGCTGAAACCAGTGAAGAAAATATTACTAGGGCATTAGACAAGGCTTACATAGGCTTCTACCTAAAAAGAGTAGCAAAGCAATATTTTTGCTCTGCAGCATTTAGCCTTGAATTATGCTGGAATGGCCAATCTGTGATGTGAATTCAAAACCAGCTTTGCAAACATCATAAAAAGTGAAGATTTTATATTATAAATACTGATAAATAAGATTAGGATTCTGGAAAGAAATGCTGGTAAATATCCCACGCATTGTGAAATTCTCTAAGCTAAAATACCTTTGCTTAAAGCATATTTTCCAGATGTGCTCTAACAGCTGTTGCTATGATTAGAAAGCAAAGCCTACACAGTTTTAATTACAGAACATGCAATTATCAGTGTGGCTGATGGAGCTTTACATTTAAAAGATATTCCAGGTTCAGTTAATGTTTCTCCAGTCTCATGTCACACAATAATCTGCAAAAACAAAACTAGAGTAACAGTGTATAACACATGCAGACAGCTCAACCCAGCTTTCGGTCAGCATTGCAAGCCTAAATGGATGGACTTCATCCCACACAAGAGGCAAACCCCCTTCTATGAAATTCACTGACCACATGTCACATAGGAGTGTGCCAAGACTGGTCTAGCATTCCACAAACAAGTCAGTAGTCAAGTGCCCCAGAAATGAGTGTGTATGTCTTTAATTTGGACTGCAGACTTTCCAGCAGTTGGTGGGCTTATAAATATCTCAAGTTCTCTGTCATGTTAAAAGACACAGGTTCCCACTACAATCGTATTCCTCACTCAGAGCATTTATAGGGTCACTCTATATACTTTTTTTCCTGTATTTCATAAACTCATAGAAATTTCAGTTTCTTAATTACTTCCACCCACTTGCTAAAGTGGATCTGAATTTGCTAAGAGGTTACTAAATCATTAAGTCAAACAGAACATGACCACATAAGCCTCAAGAAACCTGGAAAAACAAATTTATCCACCATTTCCAAATGGGTGTGTGAACTTTTCCTGCAGTCTATACCAATTGTATCCAAACTGAATTATGTCCAGGTTAATTTATTTGGAATAAAGAACATAAAGAATATTCAGATTTTCTCCATGGTGGTGTATGCTGTTCTCTCTGTTAGAGCTCCCTCACCTCTACAAACCTCCTAAAAATCAAACTGTATGGAGGAGAAGTATCTCAATAAATTGACATTGTACTGAGTGTAAACTACAAACATAAAAGCCTTGTGTAAAGTTATTGAGCACATATTGCAGTGTTCAAATCAAAAGTTTAGGTAGGAATTCAAAAAATGTCTGTGTTCAGAAGTATTTATCAGAAGCCAAATCAAATGGGATAAAAAGGACTAAAATGTACCACTGAATGCAATTATACACTAGGAGCAATACAAAGTGGTAAATTCTTTATCCCTTGGCACTGGGAAACAGACTTCTCACCCAAAGACCTTGATGTTTTCCCTCCAAGTAATGTTAATCACTTTAGATCAGCTAGTCTGCATGGAGACTGGAACTGCATGGTGACTGGAAAACACCTAACTTGACATCAAACACATTTGTCTCACTAGAAGTAGTTTTCCTCAAGAGCTGCTTAAGAGAATTAGCTCACTGACAAACCCTGATCAGTTTGAGGGGTAAAGGGGGAGAAGAGAGAGGGCAAACAACAAGGGGCGATAGGAGGACACCTTGATTCAACAATCCTTTGAAAAGGTGACCTTTCTACAATTTACAGCTTAACACCAGAAAACAATCTTGTGTACACCAGTACATCATCCATATATAATTCCATGTACTATTCAATATCATCTGCCAGATTTTGCATGCGGGGCCACAGTCTGCCCTACGTGAAGAAAACAACATGAGACCAAAAATGTTTGAGCAACTGCCTGTGAACTGCAACAGGCATATGCAACCCATTAATACTCACAAATTGATATCTGTGGCTCTTACTCATGCTTACAACAAATAAAGCCAGGCTGTATTTGCAGGCATGCATGCCAGAACAGTTTTCTTGGGGGCTTGTCTAAACAGGAGTTGCTCCTAATTAATGACATGTAGGGGCTCTTGATCCAAACAGAAGTGCCTTCCTCCTGCATAGCATGGAATGGGATAACCTGGAACATGCTGCTCCTGCTTTGCTGTAAATCCATTCAGAGCTATATGGGCCAAAGTCATTTGTTGAGAGGCCATTAGGCATTTTCTCTGCCAACTGTCAGAAAAGACATGATCTTGGAAAAATCTAAATCTTTGCCTGGCAATGAAGAATCGGGAACTAACTTCGGACAAAACTGCTCTTGCACCTACATGAAATTTGCATTTTGTTTTCCACCAACAGGGACATTTTTATTTCCACCAGGGACACTGTGCATAAATGTATTGAATCTTTTTCTGAACCAATGGGTATGGATTTGTGAGAGTGTCTGCACCAGAGTCTACCTTTCCTTTCAGAGCCCCAAAAAGGCCAGCCTGCTGGATGAAGACAGTAATGATGCCATTAACTGGACCATGGACCAAATATCTCACCCAGCTCTT